CTATCCCTTAACCCCCCCCCCCCCCCCCCCCCCCCCCCCCCCGTATCCAAACCGGCACACATCCTGTCCCGTGAGCACAGACTCCAAAATCCTTCTCGGCATCTGTACTCTATTGCCCTGGCTGGAGGCCTGGCCCAGGGCAGGGTCTCCTAGGTGTCTCCCTAAGTCAGCTGCTCCATCCAGATACACAGTATCTCCTTATGTGGTACCTTGTCTCCCTGGCTCGGGTCCTTGGGTCATCTGGCTGACTAGCCTAAGCAAGCCAAGCTCTGTGTTACCTCAGGACCTTTGCACACCTCTCTCCGCCTGGAATGCCCTTTCTTTTTACTGAGACGTCTGTAGCTCATGCTGCTTTTGCTCTCAGTGTCGTGAATCCAAGCTCCAGGTTGGGTGTGGAGCCTACTTAATAAGAAAGTCTTTTAAAAAGTCTATTACTATTATTAATCTTTGTTCTCCTGTTTGAGAGTAAGTTGCGGACACTGTGACCCTTTATCCCAAGTACTTCAGGGTGTCTGTCCTGAGACCAGAGATACCGTCTCGCACAACCAGGGTCAGTGATCAAATTCAGGAAATTTAGAATTAATATATCATCTTAATCTGATATGAAGCCCATGTTAAAATTTTCCCAATTTTCTCAGTGATGGTCTCTCTGTAGCACTTTCCCACCCCAGTCCAGGAGCTCAAGCTGCACTTCGTTGTCCTGTTTCTTTTTCTTCGATCTGCAGCAGTTTCTCAGCTTTGTTTTTCATGGCATCAACATTTGGGAGGATACGGGCGGAAGGTCCCGGTTTGGGTTTGTCTGATTGTTTCTTTCTTCACTGCGTTCCTGCCACAGCCACGTCCTTCCCGCTTCTCACGTGACCTTAAACGTCATTTCCTCAAAGAGGCCGTCCCAGATCCCACCTGAGATTGTGTGTCTGTCCTTTGTTTCCCATGAGGGCGGCCGGTGCGTGGCCACCCCATCCCGCCTGTCTGCACCCTCAGCCACAGCCTGTGTTTGTCTCGCTCTCAGTCATACCCCAGGGCTTGGTGCCGGGTGCACAGTAGGCACAGGTGTGACAGGGGAGCCAGTGCTCAAGCTGCCTCCTTCCCAGGCCCCCGGGGGAGCGGGTGCAAAGGCCCCGACGCAGACCGGGTGGAGCGGCTCTGAGGGGAGCCCGGCCCTTCATGCAGGCCCCGTGGCAGCGGTCGGACCCAGGGGTTATTCTCTTTCTGACCGATTTGGTCCCATCTGGGGACCAGTCCTCACCCTCGGGCCCGCGTGCCGGAGGTGGTGCTGCGGGATGGGGCTCCCCCGGCGGCCGCGAAGAGCGAGGCCCGCAGAGGCAGCGTTCGCTGGCACTCTGTTGCAGACGCTGGGGTTACACGACGGATCAGATAGGGTCCTTGCGGTTTAGGACCTCCCCGCTGGCTGGGGTGGGGGTGGGGGCAGACGTGCAAATCCAAGTGGGGACACAGTGCAGGAAAAATACCGTGGAGGAGATGTGCACACAGTGTCCAGGGGGATGGTGTTCACTCTGAGCAGGAGTAACAGGGAAGAGCACTTCGTACAAGAGGCAACATTCGTACAAGAGGCAACATCCGATTTGGGCTTTAAAGGATGTGTAGGAGTTCGCCAGGCAGAGAAGGGAAGACCAGGATTCTAGACAGAAAGGAGGCTCGAGGCACAGAGCCTTGAGAGCACGACTTAGGCTTTGGTGAGTGTGGCTTGCGAGGCGGCGGGCGACGGTGCCCTCGGGAGGTCACTGGCACCCTTGGGAGCGTGGACGGGCCGCTAGAGGCTTCTGAGCAGGGCAGCTTTGGAAAAGTCAGTCTGGGGTCATGGAGGGAGAGGGGGGTGTGTGCGTGTAGTGAGACCTGCTTATACCTCTTCCCTCTCGCCCCACGGCCCCCTGCCCCTCCGTCCAGGTGAGCGAGGACTGGAAGTACGTCGCCATGGTGATCGACCGTCTCTTCCTGTGGATCTTTGTCTTCGTCTGTGTTTCCGGCACCATCGGCATGTTCCTGCAGCCTCTCTTCCAGAACTTCTCCGCTGCCGCCTTCCTGCACGCGGACCGCTCGGCGCCCAGCTCCAAGTGAGGCCCTCCCTGGCCCGCGCTCCTTCGGCTCCTTTGCCCGTGCCCTCTGTTGCCAGCAGTTGGGGCGGAGGTGGGACAAGGGAGCTGGGGGCGGGGAGGGGGGGAGGCTGCCGCGGATCCATTCTTTCCCGCCCCCCCCCCCCGGGCCCCTCCCCAGCACCTGTGGCGGCACACGGCGGCCGGCCTGTCCCCTTGCACCGGCCAGGCAGGCTGGTGGGGCACGAAGGCTGACGAGGGAGAATGGGGATGTGGGCCTTCCACGCCGAGGGAGGAGTGGCAGGGGAGGGGCCGGGTCGGGGCAGGGCGGCAGGGTGGGGCCGACTCCGGCCGACCTGATGGAGGGCCACCGGGCCTTTCGGGCGCAGGGAGGGAGGGGCCGGGGGTGGGCCTGAGTGTGGCCCGATGGGTGGACAGCGCCTGGGCTGGGGCGTCTGCGGGGGGGGGGGGGGGGCCCCCCCGGTCGCTGGGGCCGGATTCCGGGGGGGGGTGGCCTCCAGCCCAGCCCCACAGCCCTCCGCTCCTAAGGGGCCCCGGAGCCCCAGCTCCCTCTGCACCCCTTCCTTGCTCAGGCCAGGGTGTGGGGGGCAAGGCTGGGTATCGGGGGAGCCTCTGAGTTCTGAGGGTGCGCAGTGCGAGCTCGCCGGCTGCTTCTGGCCCCCTGAACCGACCGGGCGTTTGGAGTCAGGAAACCAAAGCTGTCGGCTTTAAGCTGACCCAGCCTCTGTGCCCTCCGCAGAGGGCGCCGGGCAGGAAGCGGTGGCGCCACCCCAGCCCTCCCCCGCCGGCCAGACCCGAGCTGGGGTGAGGCACGCCGCGTTGCCGCCTCCGGCTCCTCACGGGGCATGGTCTTTGCCTCTGTCCCTGGGCCCCCGGAGGCCGTGTTCGCTCCCTGCTCCCAGCGACCAGCTGGGGAACCCCTGGCCTCTCAGCCCCGTCAACAGGCCTCCGATGGGCCTCCTGCCCCCATCCCTGCCGTGTGAGTGGCTCCGATTTGCGGTCCCAGCCCGTCCTCGGTGCCACGGAGGGGTCAGTCCGCCCGGCGTAGCCAAAGGGCCGGGCTCAGTGTGGATTCCAGTCCTGGCCCACCACCTGCTCGCTCAGCCACGGGAACAAGTCTGTTCGCCCTGCTGGGCCTCGGAGCCCTCATCTCCACCATGGGGGCGGGACTGCCTCTTCGGGGGGGGGGGGGGGGGGGCCAGAGGAGGAGGGGAGGGTCTCCAAGAAGCCCAGTCGGTCCCTGGCACGAAGCAGAGGCTTCGTGAAACTGCAGTCGGGGGGCAGGCAGAGCTGGGGCGCTGGGCTCACCTGACTGTCCCGAAAGCCTCCCTCGCAGACCCTCCCTTACCCCGTGTCTCTTCCTTGAGCAAAGCAAGTCCCCTGAAGCAGGGCGGGGACTGGGGAGCTGGGGACTGGAGAACATTCCGGGGCACGCTCGGTGGGTCTGACCGCCTTGCCTCTCTCTGGAGTGCTTTCCGCAAAGCATCGTCCTGTTCCTGGGCTGTGCTCCAGCCCCGACCCTGGCCTCCCTCCCGGGCCAGCTCCTCCCAACACGGGTGCGAGCTCGTAGCCCCTGGGCCGATCTGGGCTCGTCCCGGCCGCGGGTGTCCGGCCAGTAGTTGGGCCAGGTGTGCCTCGGCACGTGTCCCCGCCTGTCAGAATGGGCTCATCTCTCCTGAGGGGGGGTGTCTTGGCCCCGTGGGCCCCACCCCCACCCCGTTCTAGAGCAGCAAGCTGAAACTTGCTTGCATTATGCCTGGACCCACGGCAAACTCAGAGTCCTGGGAAAGTCCAGGAACCAGAACACCAACTGGAAAGAACCCTCCCCCTGGAGGGCGGGGTGCCCGCCAGAGGCCTTCCCTCCTGGCTCTCCCCGCCGCCCCGCGTCAAGGCCTGGGCCACGCGGAGGGCCCTGTCAGCGGCCGCTGCGCCTGGCCTTGCGGTAAGTGCTTCCCGCGAGTGGCTGTTGTCCAAGTAAGTCACCAGAAACGCTAGAGGGGTCTGAGCTGGCAGCTTGCCCAGCGTTTCGTGGGCATCTGACACATGAGGAAACCAAGGCCTGGAGACCGAAAGCGCTTTGCCGTGACCTTGCTCGTTCTCGTCTGTAAAACAGGGAGGGCAGAGCTGGTTGAGGGCTGGAGCGCGGAGAGACAGACGGCTGCGGCTGCGTACGACGGGGTCACCGGGCTGGGCCCTTGGGGCGTGCCATTTTCCCCATGTCTGGGCGCCGCCCTTCGGGGCCCCTGCTGCTGGGGGGAGGGGAGGGCAGCAGGTTTTGAGCCTCGGGTGCTGGGAACTGGGGACAGGCACGGCCCTTCCTCTTCCCTTGTGCCGTCAGGGGCGGGGCCCCGGGGCCGTCTCTGGAGAGCCAGGCGCCCAGTCCCGGATCGGAAGAGGGCGGTGCCGACGCTGGACCGAAGCCCGGGCCAGATGGGCTTGGGAGGGGCGCCGAGGCAGTGACTGGCCCGTCTCTCCCGGGGACGGCGGGGCCACAGGCCGTGTGCCGACCACGCTGTCCGACTCTGCTTTTGACGGCCGGTGCTGCGGCAGGAGGCGAGCAGTCTATCGGCGGCCGCCTGACGGGCCTTCTCCGCGGACGAGGGCTGTGCAGGGAGGGCAGAGGCGGGATCTGGGGGCTCGACTCCTGCCTCCTCCAGCCCCAGGCCCTTGTTCCTGGACGGCCTGCAGGCAGGGGGCTCCCGCCGGCACAGAAGCCGCCTCAGAGAGGCGGAGGGACGGTGGGGGGCGGCTGGGGGAAGGCTAGGGCGTCGGTGAACCCAGTCCCTGGCCGGAGCGGACTCCGGCTCTCAGCCGGCTGCTCCCCTGTGTGTGGGCTGCCGTCACCTGCCCGTCACCCGCCCGGGCCGGAGCGTGAAGCGGCACCTTCGGTGTGTGGCCCAGCGGCCCGGCCGGCTGTCACGCGGCTCCTAAGGGACTGTAGGTCTAGGTGTGGCTACGACTCCCGCCCACCCCCCCCCCCCCGCGCCCCCTGCCCCCGCACTGGCCTTGGTCTCCCTCGTCTGTGCTCCTGGAGTATTTGCACCGGTCCTAGCAACTCCGGGCCAGACGCGTTAGGAACTTCACATTCTCGTAAAGAAAGAGGTTTCCAAAGCTGTCTTGTCTGTCTCGTATTTGGGGGCTGGGGTTGGCAAATTCAGGGACCCAGGACCTGCTGGAGAAACGACTCGTGAGGCATGGCAGATGGTTCGAGACTGGAGAGTAGCCGTAACTCCAGTGCTGCTCTGTGCCCTACGCGGACACCCATCGGACGGAAAGGAAGCGGCCAAGCGGCTGGGCCCCGAGTCACAGAGCCCAGAACTAGCTCCTGGGTAGGGAGGGAGCTCTGGGGGGAGGGCCCCTTTCAAAGAAGGGGCCGGAGGCAGGCTGGCCAGGTCTCACAGGTCTCCTCACAGCTGCGGCCTGCGAGAGCCCCCTTTGCCGTGGGCCCAACCCAGAAGTGGCGTTGAACTGTGGGCCTCCCGCACCTGAAACGAGCCGAGGACACCCGTGGGTCCCCGGGGGCGGCCCTGCTTCCCAGCCCACTTGGAGTGGGGGGTGGGGGCCATCTTGTTCCCTCTGCACACGTGCCCGGCACCTGCACTAGGTGTGAAGGACACCCTGCCCTCCGCGTGGGACCAGCAACCGCTTGACAGGCTCCTGGTCGGTTCC